CGGGGGACCCCAGAGACCCCGGAGAAACCACGGGAACGGGGAACGGGGGACCCCAGAGAGACCGGAGAAACCACGGGAACGGGGGACCCCAGAGAGACCGGAGAAACCACGGGAACGGGGGACCCCAGAGAGACCGGAGAGACCCCCGAGAACGGGGAGCCCCAGAGACACCCCCGGGAACGGGGTATCCCAGAGACCCCGGACACCGGGAATGAACCGGGAACGGGGGACCCCGGAGACACCGGCGAGACCCCCGGGGACGGGGAACCCCAGAGACACCGGAGAGACCCATGGGGAACGGGAGACCCCAGAGACCCCCGGGAACAGGGAACCCGAACAGACCCCGGGAACGGGGAACCCCAGAGTCCCCGGAGAGACACCCCGACACCGGGAATGGGGGACCCCAGTGACCCGGACACCGGGAATGAACGGGGAACGGAGGACCCCGGAGACACCCCCGGGAACGGGGAACCCAGAGACCCCGGACAGACACCGGACACTGGGAACGGGAGCGGAACATCCCCGAACCCAGGAGAGACCCCCAGAGACACCGGAGAGACCACTGGGAACGGGGGATCCCAGTGACCCCGGACACCGGGAATGAACCGGAAACGGGGAGCCCCAGTGACCCCGGACACCGGCAACGGAACATCCCCGAACCCAGGAGAGGAACGGGGAACCCCAGAGACCCCGGACAGAGACCGGACACCGGGAACGGGAGCGGAACATCCCCGAACCCCGGAGAGACCCCCGGGAACGGGGGACCCGGACAGACCTCCAGGAATGGGAAATGAGAAGCCCCAATGACCCCAGAGAGACCCCAAATACCGGGAACGGGGGACCCCAGAGACACCGGACAGACACCGGAGACCGAGAGCGGAGCATCCCCGAACCCCCGGAGAGACCCCCGGGAAGGGGGAATCCCAGAGACCCCAGAGAGACCACAGGAACGGGGTATCCCAGTGACCCCCGGGAACGGAGAACGGGGAACCCCAGAGACCTCGGACAGACCCCGGACAGACCCCCGGGAATGGGGGACCAGGGGGACCCCAGAGACACCGGAGAGACACCGGGAACAGGGAACCCCAGAGACCCCGGACACCGGGAATGAACCGGGAACGGGGGATCCCGGAGACACCGGCGAGACCCCCGGGAACGGGGAACCCGAACAGACCCCCGGGAACGGGGGACCCCAGAGAGACCCCCAAGAACGGGGGATCCCAGAGACCACAGACACCGGGAATGAACCGGGAACGGGGAACCCAGAGACCCCGGACAGACACCGGACACCAGGAACGGGAGCGGAACATCCCCGAATCCAGGAGAGATTCCCGGGAACGGGGAACGGAGAACCCGGACAGACCCCCGGGAACGGGGAACCCCAGAGACACCGGAGAGACACCGGAGAGACCCCCGGGAACGGGGAACGGGGGACCCCAGAGACACCGGACACCGGGAATGAACCGAGAACTGGGTACCCCGGAGACACCGGACAGACACCGGACACCGGGAACGGGAGCGGAACATCCCCGAACCCAGGAGAGGAACGGGGAACCCCAGAGACCCCGGAGAGACACCCCGACACCGGGAATGGGGGACCCCAGTAACCCCGGACCTGCAATGAACGGGGAGCGGGAGACCCCGGAGACACGCCCGGGAACGGGGAACGGAGAATGCGGACAGACCCCCGGGAACAGGGAACGGGGTACCCCAGAGACCCCGGACAGACCCCCAGAAATGGGGAACGGGGAGCCTCAATGACCCCAGAGAGACCCCAGATACCGGGAATGAACCGGGAACGGGGAACCCCTGTGATCCCAGAAAGACCCCTGGGAACAGGGAACCCCAGTGAACTCGGACAGACCCCAGACACCGGGAATGAATCGGGAACGGGAAGCCCCAGTGACCCCGGACACCGGGAACGGAACATCCCCGAACCCAGGAGAGGAACGGGGAACCCCAGAGACCCCGGAGAGATCGCTGGGAACGGGGAACCGGGGACCTCAGAGAGACCGGAGAGAACCCCGGGAACGGGGGACTCCAGAGAGACCAGGGGAACGGGGACCCCAGAGACCCCGGACACCGGGAATGAACCGGGAACAGGGTATCCCAGTGACCCCGGACACCGGGAGCGGAGCATCCCCAAAAACCCCAAATAGCCCCGATGGAAGCCCCCAGCAGGGTCACACCATGGCCAGAACCGATCGGTGTGCGCCCCACGCTGCGTACACCTGTTCATTAAYATGTCCCTAATTAACCTAATTAACGCCTTCCACCGCTCCAGCACGGCCTCTCCAAACAGAGAAGAATTTCTTGGAAAACAAGGGAAGGACTGGGGCAGATATTTTTAATATTAAAAAAAAAAAAAAAAAAAAGTGTTTGAACAGCACCAGGAGCGGGAATTTCTCGGTGATTCCGTTCCCAAAGGGCTCGGGCTGGATGGATCCAGGGATCCTGGGGGATCCTGGTTCTCCCTGGC